TCTTCTGAGATGTTTTTAATTACTCAGTTTAGGGCTGAAGGTGATTGGCCTGAAGTGATCCAGCTGGATTTCATACCTAAAACAAGATTAGAATCCCCACTCCCAGTCCAATGTCTTAACCACTGCAAACACAACACAAATAAATAAAATCTGTAAGAAGACCCATCAAATGTAGAGTTGAGGTATGTAAAATGAATATACCCACTCCTCATTAAGTGACACAGTCACTAAGCAGACACATTCTCTTCCTTAAAATCAGAAGTGAAATGGTGCTAAAAAATTGGTTGCTCAGATATGACTGTGAAATAAAGAGTGAGTGAATGCACGGAAAGCTGCAAAGATCATTCAGGTAAGTTCTCATACAGTGTCCTGTACTTGACTCATTTTTTTCCTAAAACACCCCCTTCCCCACCAAAAGTGGAAAGATTGCTTATTTCTTTCTGAGCTGCTTTTCTCCTCAATGCAGCACTTCCCTGAAAAGTGCTAATACAAGTTAAGAAGTTCAGTATTATTACTTTAATTAGTTGATTATAACCCTCAGACCAGTTTACCTCCCCCCCTGAAACTGACCAGACATTAATCAGTTTCACAATGAAGGCTTTAGTTGTAAAGTGTATAAAGGTTGATCTAAATGCAGGAATTTTATATTACTGTTATATTTACAAATGGTTACTAGCCAAGATAATTGCTAAACAAGAAGTGGCTATATAACACTGGCCTGCTATCCTACACTCCCTTCTTCCTACACATCTTCCAACCTATTCTACATTGCTTCCCTGATTGTATACAAAAGAGAGTGAGAGTTTTTCTCTCAGTTTAATCATAAAAGTAGGTGCACAATTTCACTGTAAGTTACCAGTTTTGTATGTTAAAGAGCTTTATATATGGGTTTCAAGCACCTTTTTTCAGGTAAGAAACTTTATTTGAACTTTATGGATTTTTAAAAACTTTATGGAGGTTATTAATATAATATGGGATTTCCCTCATAAAATTTTTTAGTAATTCTGAATATTCTAGCTGATTTAATCAGTATGAACAATTGCAATAAATTTATTTAAAGTCATTTAGTTTAGTTTAGTTTAGTATAGTTTATTGTCACTGCACCTCGTACAATGAAATTAAATGCCATCTTCAGTGTACATTATAATTATAAAAATAAAACACAAACACACATCCTTCACATTCTATACAACTGAAATGAAAACCGATATTGCATTAATATTGCACTATACAGTAGAATTCAATATAGTTACTGCCCTGGGATAGAAGCTGTTTTTCAGCCTATTTGTCCTTGTTTTTATTATCCTGTACCGTCTGACCGATGGTAATAGTTCAAAAAAAAATTTGATATGTATATTGTACTGTCAAAGAGGAGAATCTCATACAAATGAATGTTACTTGTTGCAAGATTATCTTTGTTGATTACTGAATTACTGAAAACCTACCATGTTTCTCCGAAAATAAGATCCTGTCTTATATTTTTTTGAACCCTGAAATAAGTGCTTGGCTTTATTGCCATGCGCTCAAAAGCCCGATTGGGCTTATTATCAGGGGATGTCTTATTTTGGGGAAAACAGGGTAGCAAATAGATAAATATTTCCATTGTTGATGCAAACAAAGAATAAAAGGATAAGAAAATAATTCATTACAGTTAGTTACTTTAGCTCTACCTTTTTGGTGCCAAAATGTAGAAAGATTACTAGTGGCCATAACAGAATGAGAATTTCTATTGGCATAAAAAATTAATTAACAAGGGTTTACACAGATAAATTTCCAAGTTGGTTCACATTTCATGATATTCAAATTACGTTGTAAACAAAAAACTACATACTACATAAAAATTGAATACTAAAGATATTTTCTTAGAAGCAGCAGTTTTCCTTTGCAACTGTGAACTAAATCAAGATTAAAATCTTTTGAAGATAAGCAGAATTTAGGGAATGTTTGAAGTTATGATGGACCTCCCTAGAGCTACTTATAATCTGGTTTTGAAGTTCTGACAGCTGTCCCCCTGTGGTCACATGATCACATTTTAGGCCAGAATTTCCAGCTGTTTTCTGAGTCCTGTGTCCATGTGATCATGATTTACAACAATTTTTTGCCAGGTTTATTTCTGGTTTCCAGCAAGAAGTGCCCATTGCAGTGTTTATTCAAGGACTGTGGTATTTATTTAATGACTGCTGCAGAAAAGTCATAGAAATGGGTGTGGTAATTGTGGTGATCCACTTATTGACCATAATTCCAGCCTCAATTACAGTCATAAATCGAAGACTATGATGTTTCTGCCCACTGGTTCTTTCTGAGCAATGTGATTAGAATACAATCATTTTTCCAACCCTCGTATTCCTCTTTAACTGCAATTGCCAAAAGTTAGTAATGTGGCTCAAATATTTCTTCCAAAATAAATCTTGAATCTTTGAAAAGAAAAATGAAATAACTCAATTAATATTAAGAAGGCATATGTTGTAAAAAGAAAGAAAAGTCAAGGTAACCCTGTGTTTTTAATTAACCTCAAAAAAGAAATTTTGTTGCACTTAATCCAGCTAATCAGCAAACAGAAGATAATAAAAAATGAGTAACATTGTTTAAATTATCTTATATAACCGTACTGGCCTTGATCAGACATAACACAGGAGAATAAACTTTCGCAGATGTAGGGTTTATGACTCATCTGAAGAACTATCAAGGAAAATCTAGGAAAACTTCTGGTGATATTACAGATAAACCAGTTTGCAAGTCATCAGGGCACAAACAATAATTAATAATCTGAATTATGCTTAGAGAAAATAAACTAAATTTAAATAATAATTTATAGAGCTGGTTTGTTTCTAATTGCCATGGTTAAGATTAACATAACAGACTTAAAGGTAATTAATCTGAAATAGAAGCAGAAGTTCGGAATCTTCTTGTGCTGTATCAGAAGATGAGAAAAGAGAGAACAATATAAAATGATGATAAAATCTAAGTCATTCAGGTTTATTTTCATCATGCTAAATATTTTAGAATGTTAACCTTCTTTATTGAATTGAATTGCTGCTTCTTTTGTGAAAAGGGGAACTAAAATACAAGATGTTTCACTTTTAATTAAGTATGCAGAGTGAAAGAATGAGAACTAGAATCATAGAATCATAGGGCTAGAAGGAACCTTGGAGGTCTTCTAATCCAACTTCCTGCAGGAGAGTAGACTACTAGATTACTGCATTTATTAAACAGTAATTTATGTTTATTAAATGTCATAGGAGGAGCCACTACCTGGCTGATCTTGATTGAACCTCTCCATCCCAATTAATCAGTGTTGAATCTGGTAAAATTACTAGCTGTCAAGAAAACTGTATGGATGTATCTATGTAAATACAAGAGCTGTGCTTGAGGGTTTCTGATGATCATTTTGTTGTATAGGTTTTCATTTTCTTTATCTATCCAATATATGAAGAAAGAGCAAGGTAAATGAAAATGCATATTTTTATGAAGAATATTGCCCAATCCAACCCATCAAGAAAAATGTGCATAGGATTTCAGCTCTGTTCTAATCCTAATAATTTGTTATTAAAATGTAAGTTGTAGAGAGCAGCAAATGTAATAGCACTGGTAAGATGTTTTCTCTATTTAATAAGATGCTAAGATTTTCCCATCATCATTCTTTATTTGCATAAAGACTAAAATCAATTGGAAACAAATATAGAAACAATACAAATCTGGCAGCAGTTGAAAAAATAAACAGGATCTATGAAAGTCTACACATCAAGATTAAAACTGTCCACTAAAATATAAACATTTGACGTGCATACATGCATGAGCAGCAAAGATAGTCTGTGGAATACAATTTTTCAGACTTCTCCCCATTTCAACCAAATTGCTTAGCTTCCATAACTAGATATACAAGTATAGATGCTGAGACATGAAACCAAAGTAAGAATTTAAAGCCAAGGGTGACATCTAGTGGACACTGAATGATAAAAGAGTGGGGTGTGGAATCAAAGAACAGACAGAATTGTACTAAATATTTTTGTGATTTTATTTTTAGGTTTAAAGCAATACATCCAGAGATAGAACACACACATTGTTTTCCCTGTCCCTTCTCTCTTAATTGAAAAATGTGCATTTTATCCTTCTTCTATTTTTTGGCATGGTTTTCTACTATACTGCAATTTTAATTTTTTTATACCGTATTTTAATTTTCTTTCTAGTTTAGTTACTGGGGCAATCCTAGCCAATCAGAAATTACATAATCAACAGATGACATAAAAGTTCAATTGGCAATTAAGCAATCAAAATCTCTGACAGCAGTCAACACCTTTTCATAGATTCAAGGTAGTTACTGGTATACCGCTAGTTTATGCCGATTATGAAGACATCACCCAAGTTCAGTCCTTAAGTGCACAAGTGAAAATATTAGGCATCTATAAATAGCACTCTGAGCCATTTGAAATTACAGGCCGTTTTGATACTAGGAGATTCTACAAAACAATTTCTGATATAATATGGCTATCAGTTGCTTAAAGATAAAGAGAAAATTTGCTTGGTTTAAACACAAAATCCTTTTATCTGCCTGCCTATCTATCTAGTTAGCGTCTCAGCCATTTGCCTTCTAAAATAATACAAAAAATGAAACATGGCAACTATGGATGCAACAAGAGTATCCCTTCCCTTCTTGCTGCTAACAAAACTTTTCCTTGTATCTCCTAAAACAGGTATGAGAATCAAACAGCTCTCTGAAGCAGGATTTGTAGGATCCTGAAGGAGAGTTTTCCTGCTTTCGAAAAATTAGCCAGTCAAGGAGTTCAATTACCTGGACTGTATCCTATCTATCTATCTATCTATCTATCTATCTATCTATCTATCTATCTATCTATCCATCCATCCATCCATCCATCCATCCATCCATCCATCCATCCATCCATCTTTCCAAATTTTGGATTGTGAATGTATAAGCACAGATGTGCTGTATTTTGGAAGGACTTATCTGTAAAATGTTTTTTTAAGGAGTAAAGCATACGAACCCGAATTTCTTGAAGATTGTGAAAATTGTTCCCTACTCTCACAGAGATTTTGCTTGGAGTGTAACTTTCATCAGATTTATAATCTGCATAAATGCATAATGTCTTCACAGTAGTTTTTCTTCTGGAATTAAACAATTGCAAAATCAAGATTAGATGATAAAAATGTATCATGGTTAAGTAAGGTTTAGTAAAACAGTACCATTCTTTGGAAACATTGCAACTTGTTCACATAGTAGGTTAAATAAAAAAAATTGAATACTGGAAAGAATTCAAATTTTTCCTATCTGAAATGTAGCTTTATATACATTACTGTATCTAAGGATCCTTGGATTCATTGATCATCCCAAAATTCAAATTCTAAGCAATTTTATTCATTTATCTCAGTATTCAAGTTTTGTAACATTAACAAAATATTTGTACTTTGAAGTTTTTAAAAATATAATTTAGAGTAATTCATATCTTTCAACTTTTATTTTATTCTAAAGTAATGTGTAAACAATAAGCTAGGCTTTTTTTGCATATCGAAAGTGGATGGAGTAAAAATACAATATTAAGTTACAACAGTGAAAGAATAATTTGTACTGAAATACCTGAGATTTTGTGACCATGAATTAAAGTTAAATTAAAATACATATCTAAATTATAATTTTTAAAGCTAGAGTAGCATAAAAGCAAATGTATAATTATACTTACTTTCAAAAATTAGTATTTTTTTACAGGCAATGATTACACAAAACAAGGCACATTTTCTGTTTTTATTTATCAAGGAAGAAGGATGAATATGTACAGTATTTCCCCACATATCAACTATAACTCTGACCCACTTACCCATGAAAAGCTTATGGAATAATCTTAATTTTAAAAGATCTAAATCTGTTTTGCAGGCAATTAAACTATGTTTTTCATAATATGATTTTGAATCAATTCAGTTTTCAGGAGGCTTCTTTTACACTTTCACAGAATTAAAAAAAAAGTTATATTTACCTTGCAATAATGGTAAAGGTAAAGGTTTCCCTCACACATATGTGCTAGTCGTTCCCGACTCTAGGGGGCGGTGCTCATCTCCGTTTCAAAGCTGAAGAGCCAGTGCTGTCCGAAGACATCTCCGTGGTCATGTGGCCGGCATGACTAAACGCCAAAGGCGCACGGAATGCTGTTACCTTTCCATCAAAGGTGGTTCCTATTTTTCTACTTGCATTTTTTACATGCTTTCAAACTGCTAGGTTGGCAGAAGCTGGGACAAGTAACGGGAGCTCACCCCGTTACACAGCACTAGGGAATCAAACTGCTGAACTGCCAACCTTTCAATTGACAAGCTCAGCATCTTAGCCACTGAGCCACCACGTCCCCTACCTTGCGATACTTCTTGACTAAACAGTACTGTATATTTAACTACAGTACCGTGAAATCTCACTTAACTGAATGACTTAGTGAAGAGGTGTCCCTTATTCATAAAAGTCCAATAAACTGAAGAGAATGTTATGCTAGTGATGTAACTGAAGGAAATTATATCAATTCTGTGGTAGTCCTTGACTTACAACCATTTGTTTAGTGACCTTTCAAAGTTACAACTGCACTGAAAAAAATGACTTATGACCAGTTCTCACCTTTACAATCCCATGGTCATATGATCAAAATTAAGGCACTTGGCAACTGGCATGAATTTATGATGGTTGCACTGTCCTGGGGTCATGTGATCACCATTTGAGACCTACCCAGCCAGCTTCTGAGAAGCAAAGTCAATGAGGGAAGCCAGACTCGCTTAGCGACCACACAATTCACTTAGCAACTTAAGTGAGTCATGTAAAAACTATGGCAAAAAAGATCTTAAATGGAGCGCAAATCACTTAACATCTACCTTGCTTAACAAAAGATACATTGGGCTCAATTGTGGTTGTACATCCAAGACTACCTATAGTGATAGGGAGATACTTCTCTGAATGCATCCCAACATTTCCAGTGAGTGCAGAAACCTCAGAAGTTCTGTCATTGGAAGCATTTAGGAAACTGGTAGAAAATAACTCTGAAATAATGACCAAATGGGCCATGGGTTATCGTGTGTATGCGTGTATGTAAATTGTATAATATATTTTTTAAAAAAACAAATGGTAAATGCATAATAATGAAAAATACTGGTGCATAAATATTCACTACCTGAATTGGATGTTGACCAAATGAGGCTGTGATCCATCAGATTGCCAGTATGTTTCTAGGTTATCATCTCGTAACTGATCCACCCCAAAGCCTATTTTGAATATACAGAAGCAGACTGTCTTCAGCAACAGTAGCATATAAGTAGATAGATGCTCTTAATGTTTTAGTATTTTCTATGTTTCCAAAAGTGCTATGCTACTAAAACTCTTATGTCTGTGATCTTTAACTGGGTGGAATGGTGCATCATATGGCGAAATTTATAATCAAGGCACCTTAAATGGGCTAACTGAAGAATAAGTCATAAATCTGGGCCCCATAACCCACCTGGAACTGAAATTTGACAAATTTTATAAAACACTGTATGATGTAAACATTTATAAAACGTTTCCTATTGTCAACTCCTGACATTTGACTATCTTACACAATTCAACATGGGCTACTTTCAAGGCAGATGCACCTTTGAATATCTCCCTGAATCTTTAAGAATTTTTCTACTACATTAGAAGCTCTGTCACTGTTTAGGTGACATTGAGGAATCTGGTAAGGAAATGTCTCTGAAATGATAACCCAAGGGCCACAGTTTGTTCAATGGTAATCTAAAAAGCGCTAGATGGTGAAAAGGAGTAGTGCACATTCTATATTCTTGAACTATTTTCTTGGGACACTAAATGCCTAAAACACTTAAGTTTGATTGTCATATCTAATTTAAATTAAATCCAAAAGTTATTTTCCACTCTTAAAGGGAGTTTCTTGCCTGTTTATAAACGAGATGCTTCTGCAGTTTACCTGGTTTACAAGATGAAAGAGACCAAACAGCTTGTGAACCTATTTCTCGAACAGTTCCTGTCCTTTCCAGCTGTTTTGGATCTGCACCAGGAGGAGTCTTGTTAGCAGTGGCCATTTTTCACTAGGAAAAAAAAATAAAAGTATATTTAAAATATTCCACATTCATGACAATAGGAACAGAAAGGAAAATGTTGAAAAGGTCTGCCACAAATGTAGCAATCTTTGGTTGAAATATTTTACGTGACCTTCCTCCTCTCCCATTTTTTCCAGTGTTTCTCATTTTATGGACCTAATGGCTTATAATTGCTTTAGACTAAGAATAGAAACATATTTTTTGGTTAATAAAAACAAGAACGGGAGTATGTTTAGGAATTTTAAATTTAAAACAAAATATAAGAGTGGAAAAAGGATTGAGGTTAATCATGCTTATAATAAATTCTTGCATAAGCTAACCAAGAAAAGGTCTACCAATTCATTAAACAGAGCTGGATGTGACTGTACTATTTGTTGGCTTATCTATAGTCCTCTGTTGTCCCAAATATTACTTTGGGGATTTTACTGAAGATTAAATATCTCAAAGAATAACAAATGGGGGAAATAATCACCAAATTGTATCCTTTATCCAAGCTCCCCGAATTTACTTTTCTCATTAGTTGAGAACATAAAGTAGGACCTAGAACAGGAGATGTGACTTTTTATTTTTCCCTAAGTAAAACTCAGCAATGGGACTGTCTCTTAGATCAAAGCCATTACAAGGCTAAAATGAATAATCAGCATTGTTCCATCCAGCAGTCTTTGAAAAAACAGAAATATCAAAAATGCCTATTTTTCTTATATAATTGATGATTCAATCAATTTATTTTATACTTGAAAATAATAATGATGAATTTGAGTATAACTAAAAGTTATAGAATAAAGGAGTCATCCATACATTAAACATCACAAGACAATTTTGGCTGAAATCATATCACATTATATTTTTTGCAGATATTCATCTTTAACTTAAAAATAAAAGAATAACATTATTCTTCAGAGAGTTAGCTGTAATAGTAATAAAAATTAATAGGAATGATTTATAAGATAATTACACAATGGGAAAATTCAGAAAGATCTTTAAAGTTTATTAATTACAGCTACTGGAGTGACTTCAAATGTATTAATAGCAAGAAGAGTTTCCAGTACGTTAGATCTTGTTTCCAAACTGTTTTTATATTATTTAAAATGTCAAGAATCTGTGGTTTGTGGCCACGTGTTAATTTTCTTTTGCAAAGCCATTTTCCATTTTAATAATATGGTCCTTTATTATTAAAAATCTTCCCATGACATTAAAGAGAAAGTTTCCCTAGACATAGGATTAGAAAACAAATATTTAGGAAGTCATAATCAGTTCATCACTTAGCTGTATTACAGAAATCATGCAGGTATTTGTAATTAGATCATTGTTTACAAGTTTGTTACATTCTGATTTATTTATACCTGTTGAAAATAATCTTTTTATAAGTGAAAAATCAGTTCCAAATAGTTAAAGCTACTGTGATAGCAGATGAAATCTATTAAAGATAGTCTTAAATTGAAAATTGTCCAAGGTCCAACTAAATGTCATAGATGAAGTGGCAGGACAAAGCTTGATTTGGTATTCCAAAAATCTGGAGTCTCTACTAGAATACTGTACCTTGTTCCTACTATAATCCAACATTATTGATCTTAACGAAGAGCCCCAATGGAGTTCTTAGTGCAGGATCAAGATGTTACACATGAACTGCCATTAAGGCAGTGGTGAAATCCAAATTTTTTTACCAGCTGTTCTGTGGGTGTGGTGTGGCTTGGTGGGCGTGGTTTGGTGTGCGTGGCAGGGGAAGGATACTGCAAAATCTCCATTCCCACCCCACTCCAGGGGAAGGATACTGTAAAATCCCCATTCCCTCCCCACTCCTGGGGGAAGGATATTGCAAAATCTCCATTCTCACCCCACTCTGGGACCAGCCAGAGGTGGTATTTGCTGGTTCTCCGAACTCTCAAAATTTCTGCTGCCGGTTCTCCGAACTGCTCAAAATTTCCGTTGCCGGTTCTCCAGAACCTGTGAGAATCTTATGGATTTCACCCCTGCATTAGGGATTTAAAGGTTCACAGAAGCATTGGAACTGGTTCCCCAAAATACAGGTGGTCCTCAATTTATGACCTCAATTGACCCCAAAATTTATGTTGCCAAGTGAAAAATTTGTTAAGTGAGTTTTGCCCCATTTTACAACTTTTCTTGCCACATTTGTTAAGCAAATGTCATTTCTTCCTTCTTCTTGTGCCATATTCGTCATTGGACGTTGGCGATCATGTTGGCGATCCTATTTTTATCAACAGCCGCACGAAAAAGTGCTATTGAGTTTTGTCCAAACCAGTCCCTTAGATTTTGAAGCCATGTTTCCTGATTGCTTATTTGTACCCTATGACTATCATTAAGTATTGTACCTTATGATTCTTGATGAACTTATCTTTCCTTTTATGTACACTGAAACCATATGCACCAAGACAAATTCCTTGTGTGTCCAATCACACTTGGCCAATAAAAAAATCTATTCTATTCTATTCTATTCTATTCTATTCTATTCTATTCTATTCTATTCTATTCTATTCTATTCTATTCTATCATGCCTGGGCCTCGTTTGCCTTCAATCTTTCCTTGGAGGATTAAGTGAAGTATGCCGTATTTTTCTGGGTGTCGCATCACATGTCCAAAATATTCTAACTTTCGCTCTTTTATGGTTTTGATGACTTCCCTTGGCTTTTCCAGGCGGCTTATCACCTCATTTCTGATTTTGTCAACCTAAGCAAATCACTGCAGTGTTAAATTAGTTAACATGTTAAGTGAATCTGGCTTCCCCACTGACTGCTTATCAGAAGTTTGCAAAAGGTGGTCACATGACCACGGGACATTGCAACAGTCATAAATGTGAGTCAGTTGTCAAGCATCCGGATATAAATCGCATGACATGGGGATTCTACAATGGTTATAACTGTGAAAAACGGTTGTAAGTCACTTTTTTCAGTATTGTTGTAACGTCGAACGATCTCTAAGGGATCTATTGTAAGTGGAGGACTACCTGTATGCTTGTAACTATATGCAACTGACACAAAACTGCAATAACTTCAGATTTGCTAGCTACATTAGCGTCTGAATAGCTGCATTTACATCAGCTGAAGCTATCAGGCCACCATCAGGGACAGTCATTAGGTAAACATTAGAGAAATCTGTTTTGGAACAGTATTATAGAGCATAGCTCAGATCCAATTAGTCTAGAAAAGGCAACAAAGGCAACATTGTTTGTATCTTATGATTTATGATTGTAACTATAATTTATGATCTGTGACTTATCACTTTTGTTATTTGTATGTACACTGACAGCTTATGCACCAGAGACAAATTCCTTGTGTGTCCAATCACACTTGGCCAATAAAGAATATTCTACTCTATTCTTCTATTTCCGCCTATTTTTCCCAGAAAATAAAGAAACTGTATCATCAAATTGTGTACTTAGTTCTACAGGGAAAATAACCATGTAATCTGACAATTGTACAACATTATTTAGATCAGCTGCCTTCCAGAGAGCTATTTCTCCTGGATTTGTTCAAGAGGTCCACGGTCTTTATGCAAAACTGCAGGGAGACCTGAGAATTTGAAGACAATAACGTCCAAACTCTAGATAGAGTCTCCTGAAGACAGAACATGGCAGATATATTTTATACAGTATAAAAAAATAAAACTTAAGCTCTTTGGGTAAGCCAAAATTATGCAGGAGAATAGAAATAACATACAGAACATTGCCTTTGAAAACTTTCTCAAAAGTTTAGATGTAATATGGAGGCTAAAGAAGGAAAACAGGAAATCATGTTCCACCTATCAAGAGTTACTATAAGGACAAATTCAAGGAACAGTTACTAGTACCAGTCATAATGATCATAAGAGTTTCTGTCTTAATCGTAGGGTAGTATATAGATCAAAACAGATCTACACAGTGTTTTGGAAAAAAAAATACTATCCAGAAATGTCAGATTAGTTTAGTTTAGTTTAGTTTATTTATACTTATATGTTGCCCTTCTCCCGAAGGACTCGGGGTGGCTCACAAAGATAAAACAATAAAACAGTAAAATTACGACTAAAATACTCAATTAAAATCCCTAAAAAATTAGTTAAAACTCTCATCAGATCAGCAAATTTGTTGGAAAAGCCATGTCTTCAGGTCAGCGCGGAAAGAGCGGAGGTCAGGGGCCATCCGGAGCCCAGTGGGTAAACCATTCCAGAGGGTCGGTGCTCCCACAGAGAACGCCCTCATCCTGGGCGCCATCAGCCAACATTGTCTGGCCGATGGCACCCGGAGGAGGGCAATCCTATGTGAGCGCATTGGGTGGTTGGAGGCAGGCAGAAGGTGATCCTGCAAGTACCCCGGGCCCATGCCATGAAGATTAGACCAGTCAATAACTATATGCATCATTTGCAAGGCTTATGCAACTGCTTCAGAAGCTATTCCGAGTCGTCTCCATATGCACGGAAATTTTAAACCCCCCCTCCCAATAAAACAAATGGTTATGCAAATAACACAACAGATTTAACAGTTAGAAAATAGAGGCTTCTACATCCTCCCAGGTGCTGCAAAGCACTTCTTTGCACACTTTTAAGTATCAGATTCATAGGGTACAAAGAGCAATTGCTCTTAAACTTCTCTAGGGTTGGCAAAGATCTACAGAATAAACAAATTCTAATTAATGTATCTTAATGAACTTATGTAACTGAAATGCAGATATCACAATTTGACAAGGCATTTTATAGGCTGTCTCCAGCATAAGCTGTCAATGCCATGATACCTCATTCACTGCAGATATTTTGCTTACAAACTGCAGGAAAAATTGGGTCCAACAGGCTTCAGCAGTTTAATACTAGTTATACTAGGCTTACACTGGAAAATTCTTTTATTATTACAAATAAGTGAGCAGCCACGTGTAAATGAAATGGGGGGAAATTGCTATTTTACTGCCAAAGAATCAGGCCAAAATAAAGTTTACAATTATTTATACCTTTAGCTATCTGTAATTTAATTACCAGTCAAATTAATAATCTCATTGCAATTATTTGAAAGTCTATACTGGATGTGTTTCCATAATTTGGTTGAGGATACTTTGGGATATCTAATTTCTAAATTATGTTTCCTACTCAAGTGAGATTTGAGCTTAAAACAAAATTTGGCTTTCCTATTTCAAAGACATTTGAGGTGTAGTATATGACAAGAGGCATAATAAAACCACTATATTGAAGCATAACCATTGTTAAAAGAATGTTCCTGCTAAGATAATAGAAGAATTCAATCACTGAAAATGATCTGGTCCCATGGCCTAAATAGATTACATTTATATCTGAAATTAAAATATGACCTGTTTATGACAGGAACTATTGCACATCATGGGACAGAAACAGTGAAAAAAAAATGCCTGTTTTCAAAAAAATTCAGATACAACAGGAGATTGAACAACTAGCCTCATGGTGCAACCAGAACAATCTGGAACTGAACATACTCAAAACTGTAGAAATGGTGGTAGACTTTAGGAGAAACCTTTCCATATTACCACCTCTTACAATATTAGACAACACAGTATCAACAGTAGAAACCTTCAAATTTTTATGTTCTAACATATCTCAAGACCTAAAATGGACACCTAACATCAAAAATGTCATCAAAAAAGCACAACAAAGAATGTTCTTTCTGTGTCAACTCAGAAAGCTCAAACTGCCCAAGGAGCTGCTGATTCAGTTCTACAGAGGAATTATTGAGTCTGTCATCTGCACCTCTATAACTGTCTGGTTTGGCTCTGCAACCCAACAAGACAGACAGAGACTTCAGAGGATAATTAGAACTGCAAAAAAACCACAACCCCAATTACTACCAACCTGCCTTCCATTGAGGACCTGTATACTGTACGTGTCAAAAAGAGGGCTGTGAAAATATTTACAGACCCCTCACAACCTGGAAATAAACTGTTTCAACGCCTACCCTCAAAACAACGCTATAGAGCACTGCACACCAGAACAACTAGACACAAGAACAGTTTTTTCCTGAACGCCATAATTCCCTCAACACTGTCAAACTATTTACTAAGTCGGCACTACTATTAATCTTCTCATCATTCCTATTACCCAGCTTCTCCCACTTATGACTGTATGACTGTAAACTTATTGCTGGTATCCTTACAATTTATAGATTGTTTCCTAATATGATTTGATTGCTTATTTGTTCCCTATGACTATCATTAAGTGCTATACTTTATGATTCTTGATGAATGTATCTTGTCTTTTTATGTACTCCGAGAGCATATGCACCAAGTCCAATCACACTTGGCCAATAAAAAATTCTATTCTATTCTATTTCATATTCTGCTTTCTTACCTTATTTCTTACTCTGCTTCCTTATTTGCATGGCCCACTCAACTTTTCTATGTTCCCTCTGTATAATTTATAGAAACTCACAATTCACTAGTTTCTGGGCTTTTTTTCTTCTGGCAGCCAGCAGACCCTTTGCTGCCCATTGGGAGACTAAGATAGATCTATTTCGGCCTTATAAGGCCTCATCAGTTAGCTACACCCTCATCTCATGTATCCTCCCTGTAAAGGTACAATATTTTTTCTTCTTTCTTTTTCGTAGGTTTTATGTGTATTTCTCTTTAGCCAGGTCCTACCTACCTGCTGGCTGCCAGAAGAAAAAAAAGCCCAGAAACTAGTGAATTGTGATTTCACTGAACTAGGGCTGCATAATATCTTGGTTTATGTAGGTCGAACCTGGCTAAAGAGAAATACATACATACATACATACATACATACATACATACATACATACATATGTATATATAAATATAAAATATATATAAAATATAAAATGTATATATTTTTTACATACAAAATGTATAAAATATATATATAAAAAAAGTCCATTTGCCATGACAACTCTACCTGGATGACTGAGAATCTTCATAGATACATTATATATAAAACACCTTATTAATATTGCTCCCTCTTCACCCGTGTACACAAATCCATATGAATATCCCAAAGGTGCTTTTTCAAAAGGCAACTGGACTTTCTGGTTTTTCTTTGAAGACGTTTCGTTTCTCATCCAAGAAACTTCTTCAGCTCTGACTGAATGGTGGGGAATGGAAGTAACAGTAACAGAGTTGGAAGGGACCTTGGAGGTCATCTAGTCCAACCTCCTGCTCACGCAGGACACCTGTACTAGGGATTCGAACCGCCGAACTGCCAACCTTTCTGATCCACATACGTTCTACAACAGCTTTCTCCGACATGGAAATGTACGCTTTTTTCTTCCTTCTAAGCTTTTTAATACTGTCTTTCTTTAAAAAAAATAAAATACCGAGGGCCATTTCAATTGTTCAGTTTTAAGAGATCCCTTGAAATCTTAAATCAGTAATTATATATGGTGTGAAACAAACGAACGCCTGTTAACAGCAAACCAAAAGGGAAGATGGTTACTTAAACGCTCTCTAACGTCCAATAGTAGCACGCGGTAAAAGACTTACTTACTCGTCCCGCTACGGTAACAAGCGATACCTACTTTTTAGCCACGCCTTCCCCTCTCCGTTAACTGATCGCCCGACTCCTTCTCCTCCCCGCCACCACTGAGTTTCCAGACAGCCCGTCGCTAAGTGATGATGTCAGAGAGAGAGAGAGAGAGAGAGAGAGAGAGAGAGAGAGCCACCTCTCTCTTGCACTTCCGGCGTTTCGTCTTGTCTATGGCGCTGTGCGTATCTCATCATAGACTTCAATGTGAGGCGCCGGCTCCTCCTTTAAGGTTGGCGGCCATTTTGGCCGGGTGGCAGTCGGAGCACATTGTCTCCGTGTCCACCTGTGAGCCGCGGAGGCCCGGGGAGTTTTTTCCATTCGTAGCTCCCCCCTTCTCGTTCTTCCCGCCTCTTAATTTTTTTTCTGGTAAGTGGAGCTAGCGGATAGTGGTAGTTGGGCCCGGTCTGCCCCTCTTCTCCAATCATGTGGAGTTTGGTTTGGTGGCTGTAGATAAGGCTGGCTGGGCCGCAGCTGTCCAGCTGCCTCGAGGCTTCTTTCCCGTCGCGGTGAAAGAGAGGGGAGCCTCGCGGGTGAGAAGGCCGAACAATCCCTAATTTATACCGCCGCGGTTCCACTGACAGCCCTTCTTCGTCTCCGGGGAACGTTTATTTCTGAGCCCTTACGTTTATATTTCGCTTTCTGAGTTGCTCAGTGTAACGTGCTTTGAATCGCCCCCACAGCCCTTTATCCTCACCACAGTTGGGCGAAGAAAAAATGACGGCCCCAAAGTCTCTCAGCGAACTTAACAGTTGGGTAGACTTAAATGTGATCCTTCCCGATTCCAATCCGGCACTTTTTAATTGTGACACCGCAGCGGTGAGCCCCTTAACTCTTCTCTCTTGGTAAATTTAGGTCTTCGAAATCTATAGTCTATAGAGAGCATTTATTTTTGACAAAGCTTTCTTCCAAGAACCGGCTTTATTCAAGATACTTTTGATCAGAAAGCTTTCCCCTTCAGCGGTGGCACCCTGGTTAAAAAATGTCCCTTTTCCACTTGGTCTGTTGACTCTTCTGATCCTTATGAAACCCTTTTGGTTTGACCATTAAAATGGCTATTTTTACCTCTGCTTTTAGATATTTGTTTAAGCTTTGAATGTCTCCTGTGCTGGAACCCATGTTATATCAGTGAAGTAAAAAAATAAGTATGGTTTAATGCTATAAAAAAAAAGATGATCATGGCAAAGTATTAAACTCATGTTTGTTCACCACATAATTTGTAGCCTTCATATTAGAAATGTGATAAAACAGACAGCATAGTTGTCAGTGTTATTACGTAGCAGAGATAATTGGTGGTAGCATAATCCCTGGATATTTAAATAATTTTTCTTTCACCAGAAATGTTTATTAACTGAGCCAACATTACAAAACTGCTTTATGAGTCTTGTATTATGCTAATCATCTACAACAAGTGGATGTAAACTGTTGCATGTGAATGCTTCCCACATTTTCAGTAGTTTAATAATTATGGATGGAAAGAATGAACAGATAAAATTTTGGGCAGTCTGGAGATAATGTCAGTTGGGGTTCAGCAACATTCTGAATTTTTAGAGAAAAACTGCTTTGGCGTTTGGGTATATGTAATGCAAGATAGCATCAGACATGAGCTACTTAAACACATTCAGGGCTTTTTTTTTTTTTTTTTTTTTTTTTGAGATTGTGCCACAGCTGCAAATAGTGGCCACATGAACCCAAGGAAAGTTTATGTACTTTTATGCAGATACTCTGTAAGTGCTGTGAAACTCTTGTTTTCCTTCCAAACAAAGCACTGCTCAGTACTTTGCTTAATATTAGTGTTACAGTCCATTGATTATCCACAAAAAGTCAGTAAAAAAAACTGACTATCAGGAAAATTATTGTATTATATTAAAGTTCTCTGTATGTTTGGTGATGAAAAATGTAAAGTTCAACTAGACTATTAGAACCACATACACGTTCTGCATTTCAGTATACTTGATCAAATAGTACTAAATCTGTTTTTGATTTAGACTTTGATATCGGATACATTTAAGTGCTGTTTGACAAACATATTTTTACAAAAGGTGGCCTATAAATTCAGCAAACAAGTAAATAAAGTTTTGAGTTTTATGTAATTACAGTAGAAAATAATATATGTAGTTCAGGATTGAGTTGTGCAGTCCCTGTTGCTCTGGGTGTTCTTGAAGACATTTCATTACCCACAAGATAACATCAGTGCAACTAGGTTGCCAGGAGAATAACCTAGAGTGCACTGATGATGTTATCTCGTTGGATAATGAAATATCTACAAGCAAATAAATAACCAAATTCAGAGTAACATCAAGGCTCCAGAATTTTATGTTTTACAAGTTTTACAAAAATCTTTATTTTAATTACTTAATTAAGTCCTGTACTTGGAATGCAGCCATGAAATGGTGACTGTCTTTTTTCTTCTTCTTTTTATTATGTATATTGTGTTCACTTTTTCTATAAAAGCTAATACAACTACAGATCTCATTCCGAATCTGTCACATTTAGTGATATAAATATATGAGAAAATAATGTGTATAAGAGGTACTTTTCAGCTTTAAGCACTCAGGACATAAGCTATTGAAAGTTACAGCTTAAGAACTGAAGTTTTTTTTTTTAAAAAAAAAAAAAACTCTCATAGTCCATATATTGCTTGTGTTGCTGATAAGGAATCAGATTTGTATCCTGAAGAGTTTGGTTTTAAATAGTTTTCCATAAGAGGCACTGGCATGGAAGAAGGACTAAGACTGATTTTGGCTTTTCCCACAAAAATCCATGCAAGAGTGAGATGAAACACATGCTCCCCACCAAGCATGCTTGTTCTTTGACTTTACTGTATCATTGATATCTACTGTTCTTCAGTGTTTCCTGATATTTATTATTTATTTGTTCTTTTATTCTAGAATCGTCATTTTAGAATCCTTAGTTTGTCTATGTGCATAATCTGTAAGTCCTTACTATGGCTGATAAACTAACAAGAATTGCTATTGTGAACCATGATAAATGTAAGCCAAAGAAATGTCGCCAGGAATGCAAGAAGAGTTGCCCTGTGGTTCGAATGGGTAAGAAATGCAAGTTATATATAACTTCTTTTAAAAATGTAGAATCAGAACAAGAAAAAAACATTTAAAATCATATTTTTCAACTATTAAGTCTTATTTGTAAATATCTGGTGTGTATTCTAGTATGTTTACTGATTTTTATTTCAAAGTTAAGAAATATATGCCTAAAATACTTAAATTCAGGATTATTTGAGACCATTTACAAAATTTTATTCTAGTCAGAGATAATACTGCTCGGAATAATTCTTGTTCTTTTTAATTTTTTTATTTAGGAAAATTGTGCATAGAAGTAACATCACAATGCAAAATAGCATGGATTTCTGAAACGTTATGTATTGGTTGCGGTATTTGTATTAAGGTATGGATCATTAATAATTGAAAAATGCCTCTATATCTTTCAAATAGGACAGTTCCAAGTATGGGTGCTTTTCTTTAATTTTCCCCCCCATTGTTGGATGTCTTATTTTTTGTGCTGCTTGCATTCTGCATAAATGTAAACCACAGTTTGATGTTCCACAGTGCTCTTTTACTTTTGTGGATAGGTAACAGGTGATTTAACAATTAGGAAAATTGATTGATTTGTCCTTGATTAAGTAGCTGTGGGTTAGGATTAAATAGTTGAGTACTTTTAATAAGCAGTCATTAGCTTTCCAGAGAAATGAAGTTAAATGAAGAGCAGTTCTGTTTGTTTTTTTTACCTTTTATGTGGGCACAGAAGATCTCCATTCTCAAACCAAAGCATCTGTCTTTTTCTCACTCTATTCTTGATGGTCCACTTTACACTTCTTGCTGTTGAATGTTATAATAATGATAATACAAAATTAAATAACCAGAAAATATCAGCTAGCCACCTTGACTATTACTGGGAGATCACTCAAAAAGAAGTGAGTTGGCAAACAGTTTTGGCTGTGGTTTACTATGTCATACTCAATTTATTTATTAAGTATAGGTAGTCCTCAACGTACAACCATAATTGAGCGTAAAATTACAGTTGCCAGTTTCGGTTGTTAAGCAGGTCACCACATGACTGGACCTGATTTTATGACCATTTTGTAGCAGTTAAGCAAATTCCATGGTTGTTAAGTGAACTGATTTTACTCAATGGGCATTTTTTTGCTGGAAACCAGAAGTAAACACCTGAAACCAACAAAATATGTCAAAAATCATGCTCACAATGCTGCAAACAGTGGTAAAGGTGAACCAGTTGCCAAGTGCTTAAAATACAGTCGTGACTATTAATGCACTGTCGTAACTTCAAAATGGAGTCAAAAGTAGCTTTTGAGGACACATTTTAACTTTGAATGGTTGTTTAGCAACTGCTTATGAATCAAGAATAATCTGTAAGCATTTTTCATGTTAATAGTAATCCATGTATCATGTAAATGTAGCACGTGTTCACACAACTTGCCAAACAATGGTTTATTGAATTGGCTGCTATTCACTGGCTTTACATATTGTATTGAGCCAATAAAACATGATTTACAAAACGATAAGGACCTCAGTGAGAAACAATGCACTAAGCAATAATTCAATAAAGCTTGGCACTATGTGTGGATCAGTTTGGGCTGAAAAGTCTATTTAATATAGACTACTGCTTTTTGAAGAAGGTGCATTGTAATTTTTTGTTTTGTTGTAGAATTTGAGCTTTTAATTCTTGCTTATTTGCTCTCCCCAATTATGGTTGCTGTAATGTCCAAATCATGACAATTACTTTATACATTAAATCCTGTATATTTTTGGTATTCTGCTTCGAAAATGAAAAATAAGCTTTCCATTTATTTCTGCAAGCAACTTCAAGATAAATTTCATTTAATTTCTCCTTGTGGCCTATTATAGTCTTAAATTTATTTATTCAATTTCTATAGCCACCTATCTCAGTCTATTATAAAGTATAAAATTATATCTTCATTATTAATTGTTTAAAAAGAGAACTGCGGGTAAAATGCTTTGCTCTATTAATTGTAATCTTTTAAATGTATAAACTCATTTTATTTTACAGAAATGTCCTTTTGCAGCCTTGTCAATTGTTAACTTGCCTAGCAAC